CGGTTCGGCCCAGGAGAAGGAGTGTGGTTTGTAGGTGGCGCATAGGGAACGGAGGGGTGGTGTGCCCGCTGGACTCAGACACACTGTCCCCCGAGTCTGGCTCATCGCCCAGCCCCCACGGCACCCTGCCCAGCAGGAGAGGAGGCTCCAGGTTCTGCGGGCTCTCGGGCCTCCCATCGTCGTCCTCGTCAGCACAGGAGTCGGGGTGCCCCCAGGAGAAGCGCTCTCTGGGAGCGCTGGTGTCTGAGCAAGGGCTTTCCAGGAAGAGGGGGTTGTCAAAGAACAGACTCTCCTCCTCGGCACCCCACTCTGGGGACGAGTCTGGCGTCCCCTCCCCGGGGGACACCTGGGTCTGGCTCTCTCCCTCAGGCCTGCTGCTGTCCTCCCCCGAGGGAGGGCTGGCCGGGGGGCCCGGGTCCAGGGGGGCCGCCGGGCTGGAGGGGAACGGGGGGAGGTCCACAGGGGCCGTGGGGATGCAGGACCTCAGCTCGGCTCGGAGCCCCTCAGTCTTCTCCAGCTCCTCCTCCAGGTCCAGGACGCACATCTGGGCCTGCAGGATGCCCGCCCAGAACACCACCTGCGTGGACGAGCTGGGGTTCTGCTGTGGGCCCCCCTGGGAAGACCCGCTCCCCAGGCCCTCGGGCTCGGCCCTAGAGCCCCCGGCAGGAGCATCTTGCCTCCCCGTGGACTCAGAAGGGTCCGACGCCCAGGTCAGTTCCTGCAAAGGTCCGGGCGGGTCAGGACGGCTGCTCGTTTCCCTGGGCTGTACTCCTGGGTGGGGCTGCAGGTTGTCGCTCAAACAGACGTTGAGAAATTCCAAGGGTTCTGGGTGTTCAGAGAGTGTGTTGTCATCCATCATCCACGGAGAGCACGTGTGCGGGGGTCCCCAGCAGTGTCCACTGTCACAGTCCCATTGTGTGGATTAGGGGGCCTGCTGGCCAGGGGGGCAACGGAGATCCACTCTGCCCTGGAAATACCCAAAGCACAGTAGGTCAGCAAGGGGCTGCCAGCTCCTGTCTAGTGTGTCAGATGTACTTGGGGGTCCTGGCCATGTCCATGGCCCCGGCTGGGGTACACTGCCCTCCACAGCCCTGTGGGGGAGCAGTGCTCCATGCATGCCCTCTGACCCCACCATCTCGGCCGCCTGCTCCAAAGACACCCCTCTGTGGGCTGAAGGGGCCTGAGTGGTTTAGCTGAAAGAGATGGACTGGCTCAATCAGATCCACCTCTCAGGGATCTCGACCGGAGAATGGAGAGACGACCAGCAGCAGGAGATGGAAGTGCCTCAGAACAGCATGAAATCAGTGGTGAGCCAAAAGCAGCACATGAGCCAAAGCAGGTGGCAGCCAGAGAAACACAGACCAGAGTTGAGGAAAATGGAACAGAATCTGTCACGGGAGAAGCAGGCACCTGGGAAAGAAATCCACGGCCTTCCTCCCACTCCCGGAGGCTCCTGTCTCTAGAACCTCGTCCTTTGCAAGACTGGCCGGCGGGGGCTGGTTTATGGCCGTCAGCTTGGCCAGGTGACGCCCTGGCCTGTGAGACTCGTCCCTGGACTGTCTCCGCCTCGTTCTGGCTCTCAGGAAGGGAGAGGTTAAACACAGGCCCTATGACACCCAGTTCCCGGATGAAATGCGCCCCTGGCCTCGTCACATCTCTTCTTTTTCCTTTGCCTCAGACTCTTCCCGGTGCGTGCTCATCCCTCCAAACCCCACACCTGCATCTGCACATGACCAGCCTCAGGGCCTTCCTGCGGCACCGGTGACGTCACACCTCCGCGGTCACGGGAGAACCCGCTTGACGGGAAGAGTTCACATGCCAGCAGCGGCGGAGATGGCGGGCAGGGTGAGGGAAGAGGGTGCCCTGCAAGTTTTTACAAGAAGGAGTCCCACACCCATCTTTGCAAACATGTACTTATAAATAAATGCGCGTATGTACACAGAGCAGCCACGTAGGTCAGCGTTAATTCTACGCTTAGATCGAATCACTTCGGTGATCGCTGATGCTATGCTCTCTCCCACCTGTAAAGTTCAGGGTGGGGGTGTGGTTGTGCTTCAGGTCAAGCAGGTTAGAAACAACCTTAGTGTTGATTACGAAGTCCAGGACCCCCTGTGAGACTTGGGGTTACAGAGCCTGGTGGGAGGGGTCTTGGCTCCAGCCGGCAATTCCACTTGGGGGTCACAGCTGAGCGTGGCAGGGCTGCCACATTTAGCAAATAAATATATAGGACACCCATTCCCCCATTCCCAATATTTGGGACATACTTGTACCAAAAAAGTATTCATTGTTTCTCTGAAGCACAAACATAACTGGGCTTCCTGGGTTTCATCCGGCAACCCTACCCCCCCACCCCCCGGGGGGTGCAAGGAACGTGTGGTGTGACCCACCGCACCTGCTTCACCATGAGCTCCGGCAGCTACAGGAACCGGACGGCGGCCACATCTGTCTCCTTCTACTAATGGAGACGCTGAAGTGCCAAGTTCCAAAAGCGTGCAGGGAGCTCAGTGGGGAAGGGTCTGCACTCTCTTGCCATCGCTCTCTTCAAAACCCTGCAGTCACAAAGCCCTGTGAGCGGTCACTCACGCTCTGCTCCCACTGTCAGAGCAAGGCTGTGGGCTGAGGTGTCGCTCGGAGGTGTTTGTGAGAATGGGGAGGGAGGGATGACAGATGCTCAACAAACTCACTGGGGGCCTGGGAGCCTGGGCTGAGAGGAGATTCAGCATCACGTGACCTTCCGACCTGAGGGCCAGGCTGCCCTTGAGCCAACTGCACCTTCCTCCCAGGAAGCCCAGGGGGCAGAGCTGTCCCTAGATGCCACTGCGGGGCCAGCAGCCAACACGCTCATGTGTGTCCCTTTTTCCCAGGAGCAGCTGGACGGAGAGGAGACTGGGGGACCCTCAGGCAATTGAGGGTTAAGAAACATCTACCTATTATCTATTACTACCAGTCTATCTATCTCTCTATTATCTATCATCTATCTATCTATCTATCTATCTATCTATCTATCTATCTATCATCTTATCTATCACCTTTCTATCTGTCTGAGTCTCTATCTCTATCTCCCTCCCCGCCCCACCTTTTTTTTTCTTTTTTCAATTTCTCCTCCCTGAATGGAGGGGTGGCAGGACCTGAGGAGAGAGGTGACTTACGGCCGCCAAGGCAGTCCCACCCGTCCTGACCCAGCAAGGGCTAAGGGTCCAGGGTCAAGGGGGCGACCAGCCTGTTCTGGGGGCAGGATGGCACCTCCCAGGCGGAGGCGGGCCTGGTCTCCTGCATCTAGAATCTTCTTGGTTTACTTTTTTCTCCACTCTTGGCGTTTAGTGAAATCTCTTGAAATAGCTCATCTCAGGTATCGTCAGAACAAAGGAGGGAGAAAGTCTGCCACACGTCTCACAAGGGGGGTTTGCCACGCCTAAGATACAGTGGACCCTCATTTTCTAAGCTCCGTGAGGGCTCAGAAGTTCGAGGATAAGTTCTGGGAGAAGGATCCAGGAAAATGCTGATGCTCCAGAAGACAGTGAGGGGGGAGGGCACGGGTCCACTGTGGCCCGGCTTCGTCAGCTAAATTCACGTCGGGCAAGTCCCATCTCGAGGGGTCTCTGGAGGAGAACTGTGCCCGCTGATGGGCTGAGCTGGGGACCAGGACACAGACCCCCACTGCCGGTTCCACTCCACCTGGGTTCCACCTGCCTGGGTCCAGGCAGCTCCTTTGTGACGCTGGGACAGGAGGGAACCCCGTCTGGGAGCTGAACTGTGCTTTTGAGGATTGCGCTTGCTGTTCTCCCCCCGGCTGGGCACGCGGCTTACCCTCTGCCTGCAAGAGGCTGCGGACAGCCTGCCCTGGGACAGGTGACGGCCTGGGCGTCCTGCACGCCCACACCTGAGGCCCACAGACCGGACTCACACCCTAACGGCAGCTGACCAGCCACCGACTGGTCAGAAACGCCACCTGCTTCCTGGTCTGCAGAACACGGGGATGAGAGGGAGGACGCTGCTCCACGGGCCTGTTACGGGACGGGAGCGGGTCAGTGCCAGTGCCAGGCCCTGCCTGCCCCTTCACTCTGCTGCGTGGAGGGTCCACTCCGAGAAGCGAAACACACCAACGGCCTCCCTCCCAGCACAGCGGCCTGGTGGGCACCTCGCTCTCAGCGGCCTCCGAGCCAGCCAGCCCCGCATCTCCTCCTGGACTCTGTGTCTCTCCTTTTAAGCTTCCACTCAGCAAACATGCCTTCCTTTCACTGTGGAAATTGTTTCCTTCCTATGGAAAAAGCAAAGGCTCCTGGCCTGTGCAGGGATTGAGGAAGTGCGGGGTGCTGTCCCTGTGCAGGAGCCGGGTCAGAAATGTCGGCCCTCAGGGCGGGAGCCCAGGGTGAGCCCTCTGTCCGGAGCGGCAGGACTGACGCCCCTACCTGAACCTGGGGACTGAGCAGGCCACGTTCAGGGCAGGCCCCACTTCCTGCCACACCAGGAGCCCTCATGCAAATGCGCAGGGAGGGAGAGGGGGAGGAGGGAGGCTCTGGGGGCCTGAGGACCCTGTGGTGGAGTCAGGGTCAGGGTCAGCCAGGACTCAGGCAGAGAGGAGGGATGATAGGACAGAGAATGGGGCAGAGCACCAACAGGTCCCAGAGCAGCTGCGGTCCGGGGAAGGGCTAGGCGCACGGGGAGGGCTCGGGCCAGGCTGGGCTCCTCACCCCTCTGGGATACCCCCCTCACTCCACAAACAGCTCAGCAGGCTCTGAGCCCCGAGCTGGGCGGCTCCTTGTTTGCAGATGTCCAGGAGGTTAGGGCGACAGGCCCATTTGCGGCCAGTCCTTCAAACCTGGCGAAGGCCCTGAGGGGACTAATCCTGGCCCAGGGCAGGAGGCCCTGCCCAGCTTTCAGCATCTCAGGCTCTAGAACCAGGCCCTGTGAGGGGCGGGCCCTCCGTGGCTGGCTTCACCGTGAAGACACAGCCACACCTGGAAGGCCCGAGTGCCCGCACAGGGACACTGAGAGGCATGGCTTCTGCTGCCCATCAGGTGACCTGGCAAACCGGCAAGTCGGGGCCCTGCCTGTAACCAGCCCCTCCGGGTGGGGCTAGGAGCCCCCTTAGAGCGGAGTCTGAGCTCCTGCAGTGGCCACACCCCAAACTATCCCCCGCCCATCTGGCCTCTCTCCCTCAAAGATCCAGGGTCAGGCTTCCTTGAGGCCTCAGGCCCCAAGAGCACCCACTGGGCACCCAGCCATAGCAGTCATGTCAGGCAATTCACTGCTGCAGACCCCAAAGGGCTCTGGCGGGGCTGGGGCAGGAAGCAGAGCAAGGGCCTGATGGGCCAGGGAAGGAAGGGTGAGAGAGGAGGGGACAGAGAGAAGGAAGTGAAAGGTGGGGGTACAGCCCGGGCCAGGCTCCCGGCAGGTGCCCAGTAGAGACCACAGCGCCCTCCTTCTGCCCACCGGCCCCAGCCACTGCCCCAGGGCACACAAGGCCCGCTGGGGCCCAGGCCCACCCCAAGCAGGCCCACCGTGCTCACCTCCAAGGGAGCAGGTCCCGCTGCCGTGTGTCTGCCCTGTGAGTGGCGAATGTGGTGGCTGGAGCTTCCGACTTCCGCTCCCCTCACCCCCAGACACTCTCACCCTCCCGCTCTGCCCCCCCTCCCCCCAGTCTCCCCAGCTGCTCTGCACCTCTCACTTCCTGCCCACAAGGCAGGAGGCTTCACTCACAGGCCCAGAGCCTCACGGCCCCTTACCCACGTGCCCCCGCCCCCAGAGAGAATCACGCCCTTCACCCGCCCCGGGCCTGGGACAGAGAAAGGGGAAGGTGCAGGCCCTGGACTGTGCAAGGCCCCACCCCTTCCTGCCTGTGGTTCTGTCACAGGTTCTCATCTTGCCCAGCTCTCACTGCCCTGCAGGGCACCTGGGGGGACACAGGAGGCCCGGGCTGGGCAGCTGTTCTTTTCTGCTCGTAACAATTGACATTTCTACTTTTGT